CTGCAAAGCCTGTGATTGAAGCACGTGGAGTATGCAGTAGGAATGCTAAAGTGGCACTAGGTGAGTTTAGTTCAGCTGATTTGGTTTGTTTTGATGCTTTTGAAACTGGGAAGAACTGGGAAAGAAGGGAGTTAGCAGATAAAGCTAGACCAAGGGAGGCATGGAATACAGTTTGTGTAATAGAGCCTGCAGAAAAGGTGGGGGCTATTCAAGGTCACTGTCACTTCGGTGTGGTTAAATAATCTGCCTAGAAAATAATGAGCTTTAGGACTTGTAATTTATGACTAAACTTGTTCAACATTTTCAGTGAGCTGATGTCATAATGTGCATTAGGGACAAAGTCAGTGAAATCTGATTCATTCTTTTAAATAAGGCTGCAAAAGAATAAGGAAATAAATTTGTCAGAACTTATTCAAGGCAGCTGTTAAGGTACAGATCCTTCCATATTACTCTGGGACATCCAGCAGATGTGACGGGAGGGCAGCTTGGCTGTCAGGAAACTCCTTTCTGAGCTCAGGTACAGAGGGGCGCCGTGAAAAGTAGAATTGGGGGTGGGTGGTACCCAAGAAGAACATAGGCACTTTCCCAGGGTGTGCAGGACTGGAAATAAAAAAAGCCAAAGCCTGACTGGAGCTAAATTGAAAAGGACATAAGATACAACCAGGCTTTTTATAGTTCTGGCCTGAAAAGGTAGAGCAAGGAAAATCCATGAGAGGGTAGTAGAAGAATTAAGTTCAAGAGTAACTAATTTTGACAGTATTCATGTAAGAAATTAGTTACAACAGATCTTTTTATGGATTGAATTGCTCTATTACAGAAAGAGGATGCTATAATGAACCCTGCTATTAGTCATTTCAAAAGCAGAGACAATTCTTGAAAGTATTTAGAACTGAGCTTCAATTTCTTATTTTCCTGTCCTTCAGTGAAAAGTTGATAGCCAGCTTTAAACTGAAGCTGATACTTAGTTCTTGTAATTTGATATTCTGCTGTTGTCCATGTATGTGACTTTTCTAAGTAGGACATAAGATCAACATGTTATAAAAATCTTCTTTCATGCTGTCTTGTTTAGTAATTGGTGATTCACAGAGGCTTTTCTTCTCCTGTAATCAGATTTTCATAGAGGGGATTAAAGCAGATACCTGCTAACTGCTGGTTCTGATATTTCATGTGTTGAACTGTTTTTTAATGTTATTGAATAGCTGGTGTTCTATGTATTTGATCTACAGAGGAAAACGTTACTGATTTGGTTTATGCTAGACTTACCCTTAAATGTCTAAGTGAACTCAGTGTATTCTGGAAAGTCATTAGAGGTGATCGTGTCTTCCCTTTAGGAAGGGCAGATTCTTTTCTGAGGCTTTGAATAAACATTTGCACAGTTGTTAGTGAATTTCTAGGTCCACTCTAGAAAGTAAAAATAATCGTTCAGGAGAGGTATGACCTTTGAAGGTATATCTTATTTTGAAGTTGATATGATTCTTTGATTCTGGCTTAATTGCATCTCCTTCAAAGTACCCTCATAACTATTAACCTTGTTGCTCCTCTGTTAGACTCTAGAAGATGGTAGAAGTCCCATAAAACTTCCTGGAATAATTGTTCTGTCACTTTTTGTGTAAAATGTATAAGATTTTTTTTTCCTGTAGGCATAAAGGAAAAATCATGCTGCTCTTTGTCAGTTCATGTGGGTTCTGACCATATGCCTGTGTGGAGTATGGTCTTTTTCTAAAGAAAACCTTTAGCAGCTGTTTAATGCAGTCTTGGTTTCAGCCCACCAAAATATTGGTTACTTTGCTGTCTTAGAGGTCAGTATTGAGAATCATCACCTGATAAGGTTGCTGATACTCAAGTTCAGAGCATTCAGTATCATGTCTTTGGCCAATATTATCTAAACCACAGTAATTTCAAAAAAACTTTACATAGACATAAATCTTTTGATTCTTAACTTCCTGTGCTTTTTCCTGCCTCAGCCTGGTACAGAGCTTGAGACCACATTGTCTCATTCTGTTAATGTAATTGGGCACACCTTCACCAGAGCTGCCTTATTTATGAGGGAGTTCAAATCTTGACCTTATGCTTAGATGTTCTTTCATATGAACATGTGAATCAGCATTTGGAACTTGTTGCCATAATTAAAATATGTAACTTCTTCACTAATGTGCTTGAATTCTCTAGTGCGTAGTCAATCGCTTTGTAGATGTCACCATGTAGAAACGTGTTTCCTACACAAAAAGTGGTCTGTCACGGCTGGCCAGCCTGTCAGAACTGAGAACCCAACTGCCCACATAAGTCAATGTCTCTCCCTGGCTTAGCTAAACTTGAAGTGGAAGAGCAAGAGAATCCCAAATTGCAGTGCTCATCCAATGAAGACAAAAATCAACACCCACAGGATTGTACATCCTAAGCTTAAAGGAGAGTGGCAGCTTGTTTAGATAGTCTTTGACAACCTATCTGTGTTTCACATCATGTCTTGCCAAGTAAAAGTTTTACTGCTGCAGCTGTAGTAACTACTGTCTTTGACACTCATGTGCTACTGATTTGGATCATGAGGGTTCAAACAGTTTTCTGACTTTCCCATTTTATAGGTGATTTTATATGAAACTTGTATCTTGAAGACTTATTTAAGCACATAAATGGCAGGTGGTGTAGATTGAAACATTTAATAGAATTGCAATTAAAGACATAAAGCGAATATTTTTATATCTAAAGGCACTTTCTCTTTGCAAAAGCGGAACTATAATATAAGGACATTCTTGAGTTTTATAACTATTGGTCTATAACTGGAGTAATTTTTGTGTAGGGGTAGGGTTTTTAGGGTTTTTTTGGTTGACCTATAAAACTTTCACTGAAACTGTTTAGTCTTCCAGCATGAAACTACCTCTGAAAAAGAATTAAAGAATTTATTTATTGTTTCCATGGATACAGATACAGCTCTAGACCACTGGTATCCAAACCTTTTTGATCAGGCACCCCTATCTGTAAAAAAAAAAAGAAAAAAATTGAACATACGACACCAATATCTGTACATTTATTATACACATGTACTACTGTACTCTGTATCAGGAGGTTATAAAACATCCAATAATGGAAATTAAAGATTAAATAAAGATTAAATAAATGCTGTTTTTACACTTTATTAACACTGCAAAAAATATTCTTCTCAAACCCCAGTTGATTGTCTTGCACCCCACTTTGAAGACCACTGCTCTTTCAGTGGGGAGATGCACCAGGCAGTATAAACAGGAGATCTAAAGGCCGTAGAGAAATTACCTATGAAGAGTCTTGCAGTTTTGCCTGTACATGTGTTAGAGACTGCATTTACATCAGGTGCTTGTCCTAGAGTTTGATCCCTGTGTATGAAATAGATGGTTTGTCTTCCCTTCCTACTTCTAAGAAAGGTCAAATGAAGGTTTGTAATATTCAGTGATCTGCTTTACAGGAGCTTTTCATGCACATGTAACTTTTTTTGTTTTAATTGGAACACAGTTGTTAACATATCCCCACCAACATTTTGCACTGAAATTCAGCAAAAGAGAAGTTACATCACCAGACTATCTGCAACAACTTTTACTGGTAAACAAAGTGTTAGACATTCAGTTGGAATTTTAAGTTATAAACTGTGTTGATAGTTTACATAGCTAAAGCTGTGGTGGACTTTGTTTCAAAGTACAATTTGTTGCTGTTCTGAAAATTATAGATAAAAGTACAAATATCTTTTTCCTGATGCTTCAGAAGCCATAGCCCTATTTCAGAGACAGTAACAGTTGCAGATTTTTTTCATCATGCTACTTGCTGCTACTTCATGTTACTTTGAAGGTGCTGGCTTCAAAAGTGTGAGAACCAGGTCCTGACCTCTGAGACCACAGAATGTACAGTGTTTTAGTTAAAACACCTGAAGTTAAATACTGGTGTTGCTTTGACTTTCAGTGAGATATATTATGAGAAGAACTGAACAGCGTATTGATAGGAGAGAATTCTGAGGCTGTCCTGTTATTTGGCCAGTAGTATAAAACTGATAGTATAGAAGATCAAATGCAGGATAAGATTTGTCTGATAATCTTATCTTCCATTGTCAGAAGGGAGGTAAAGTCTGGAAGATGTATGTCAGTCAAACACTCTATTTTGTGAACTTCCAGGAGATTTGGGGCAGGAGTGAGGGAAGTATGAGTTAGTGCTGTAGCTAAAATTTTGATTGTTTTTCTGTGGAGATGTGGAGCTTGAGGTATGATGCTTTATTTAGCCACTTCTTAAAATACTAACATTACTGGTACGTATGAACAAGAAGTCACTTACCACATAGCTTGTCAGTATTTGGTTTCCAGTAACTTCTCATCCTGACTGAAGTGCATCAGTTTATCCGTAGTTGCACAACCCAAGGTGAAGAAATAAAGCTGATTAGGCACTCATCAAGTTAAATTTTGTTTATGCCTTAGGAGATGTCTCAGTCCAGTTGTATGAGTGGCACTAGAATACAGCTTCTTGTGTCCTGATTTGGTTGACTGTCTTCAGACTTTTTTGTCACATAGAATTGGCAGGTACTATTATAAAACAGAATGGGCAGTTTCATAAGTGGATGGTCTGTACTCGGTCGCGTGTAACGGTACATATGATGCTGACTTATTTCTATGCATCTGGTTTTTCAGAGTGCAAAACTTCCATATGTATAGAAGCAATTAAAGTAATTCTGCCAGATAACTAGGATCCCAGTTGGGGAGAAGCAGCAGCAAAATGAGCCAGTGTGAGCATTTTTTTTACAAGCTCTAATGATTATTTTTCATTTGTTTTTTTAATCATACAAGTTACCTAGTGTGCTTGAGTACTCACTACACTTGAGATGCAGTGTGGAAGAAGGAACCAAGGTTTTCTTAGTCTTAAATGCATGGATGAGGGAAAATAAATTGAGCAACTTAATTTTATTTTTTTTCTTGCAGAGTGACTAAAATATTTGAATTGAACATTTTTCAGCATATTTGAAGGTGTTGGATTTTTTCAAGCTGCTCTTGGTGTGTTACCTCTAAAATTTTGCTTATTAGAATTATGTTTACATTGAAGGGTGAAGATGTCAACCGGACACTTGAAGGTGGGAGGAAGCCTCTTCACTATGCAGCAGACTGTGGACAGCTTGAGATTCTGGAATTTCTGCTATTGAAAGGAGCTGATATTAATGTATGTACATCAATTTGTAAATAGATGTTAGGGTTTTTTCCCCTCCTCTGCACACACACACACCCCACCCCCCCTCCACTCTCCAAGGGATTGATATAAGTGCTTAAATGGTTACTGAAAGAACTAAACAATTTGACTTATTTAAATATATTTGAGAGGTGGTCTCATAAAGCTTAGAAACTTAAAATTTTGTTTTAAATGTTTTCTTTTTGGAGACACTAGGCAAAGCTGTTTGTAGCTATAAACACTTTAAACTTAATTTGACCATGATTAGAAAAATAAATTCAGTAATCGCATTTAAATAAAATTTATATGAACTATATATTACATTTGCTAGAAGGGACTTCAGAAGACAGTGCAATGCATGCTTGGCCAGGGCAGGATCAACTCTGTTTAAACTGGTGTGCTTCTCTCATTTTTGGAGATATTCTTACTTGTACAAACTTAGTCATTTTGCTGTAGCTTGAGATGAATGGCTTTTTTTGTCATGAAAAGACTTGGCTGGGCTGTACTGGCACTTCAAAATAGTGTTGTCCATGAAGTGAAGTTTCTAAATACTTTAACCATATACCCCAAACACTGTGCTTTAGTCATCTGAAAGTTATATAAGACATCTTAGCTTTAGCTTTTAGCTTAACAAAATTACTTGAATTTTTTTCCTTGGTGTCTGGAAAGTTTATCTCTTCCTCAGGAGTTCTCCAAAATGGAAAGGAGGAAAAAATAGAGGAAAAAAATAAGAACATTTCAGTTGATCCATCTCTTAATCTTTCCGGGACTGTAGTTTAAAAAGGAGATGACAGCCCAAATAATGTTTCAGCCAAAACTGGTTTCTGAAGTCAGAATGGCTGAGAAATGGGAGAATTAGGAATAGCGTTTCTAAATTGGGCAAAATTTGTCAGCTGAAACCCCTTAATTCCTATCATTGGCTTAAAATAGACAAACTTTTGGATACCTAGAAGTCTTACGGAAGACATCTTGCTGTTACCTGACTTTATTTAACAATGACTTTTTCTTTTTAAAAATAAGAATAAAAATTTCGATAAAATACATTTCTGGAAAATACTCTTAAGTCCTTACCTTCACTCTAATGTTGGCAATATAAAATTAAAAAGTTAGGTAAAACCTTTTAACGCTGTGTGAAATTGTGCTTCAAATAACTGTGTCTCAATTTACAGGCTCCAGACAAACATAATATCACACCACTTCTATCAGCAGTCTATGAGGGCCATGTTTCCTGTGTGAAATTACTTCTGTCAAAGGTGAGATACAAATGTTTAGAATGAGTTACCATTAGAAAAGTATATTATTATGATTTTTTTTCAGGAAGATTATGATGCTCCGGATAAGTTCAGAACATCAAACAAATGCTGTTTATGTTCGTAAACCAGAAAGGGTACTCTGATTATGGAGAAGGTAGTTGAAGGAGAAAGTTCCAGGACTTTTGCAGTGTAGCAAAAGTAATAGTGACCACGAACAGTATTGTGAGCTCCAGCTAGAGATCAGTTAACAGTAAATCAGGCAAGAAAAAAAAAATGCATTCCTTCAGCAGACAGGGAGGAGTGGGATTTAGCTTTGGGAGCTGCTTAAGTACTTTCATGTGATGGAGTCTCCACTCTGAAGTTGCTCAGAGGTGTGGTTTCCCTCTGCTTTTGCCAGATGACTAAAAACCCATCTTAGCTGGCAGTGAGGGGAAGTAAAAGTAGGAAGACAAGCTATCTCTGTTACAGAGCTTGTAAATTTTGTCCTGGGGAGAATAAGCTTAATCTGTTTCTGGCCTTCCTTTGATTCATATTACAAAGGTGATCCAATTTACAAAGCAGTAGTTAATTCAAGCAATGTTTTGTCTCCATGTGTGCTGCTTCTTGTTATGCCTCATTTACTTTGAAAAGTGGAGGTTAACAGTGCATTTTCAGTATGTGAACCTGCTTAAATCATTTGGCCAAAGGATTAGGTTCTGTATAAAGCTTTCATATACCACTTCCAAGGTAAAGTTTTCCTTAACTGCTTTAATGCTGCATGAATTTAATTTTTCTTCACTTCTATGATTCTGTCTGATGTTTGTTATGCCCTTCTGTGAAGAAATGCTCTAACTGTTAATTTAGGATTCAAATGGTGCATGCAACTTGCTTGAATTTGTTGTGAAGACTGATCCTTCATTTAGGATCATTATATACACATACAAAAAGGTATCCTTTATTCCATGTGTTGTATTTCTTTCCATTTCTCTTTTTTTGAATGCAAAACACCTCAATAAGCTGCTCAAATAATAGATAAGATACCTCAAAACGTAAGTTCACACAGGAGTTGTCCAGCAACTAGTAAGGGTTGTGCATTCATTGTAGTCTGTCAGCAAGGGCATTAAGGTCCTTCCTGAATCAGATATTTTTCACACAGCATGTGAGAATGTATTGATCTCTACTTGGTGCAATTTGAATGGCATTCAACAGTCATAAAGATGAAGCAATCTTAAAGATATGCAGAATGTTATAAGAAAATAACTTGGAGTAAGAGATGAGATTAGAAAAATGTTGCTGCAAATGGATGGTTTGGGAAATCTTATTTTCAGATCTCCTTGTGCAGAGTAAATCATAGAATAAGGTCCAGCCCAGCACAAAGCCCATCCAGTGCCACCCCCCTGCCATGGGCAGGGACACCTTCCACTAGCCCAGCTTGCCCAAAGCCCCTTCCAGCCTGGCCTTGAACCCTTCCAGGGAGGGGGCAGCCCCAGCTTCTCTGGGCAACCTGTGCCAGGGCCTCACCACCCTCACAGGGAAGAATTTCTGCCTTAGATCTGATCTGAATCTGCCCTTTTTCTGTTTAAAACCATTGCCCCTTGTCCTATCACTGTACTTCATGAGAGACCTTCCCCATCTTTCCTGTAGGCCTCCTTTGAGTACTGCAAGGCTTCTATAAGGTCTCCCCAGAGCCTTCTCATCTCTAGGCTGAACAACCCCAACTCTTTCAGCTTGTCCTCATAAGGGAGGTTCTCCAGCCCCTGATCATGTTTTTGGTGTCCCCCCTGGGCCCACTCAAGCAGTTTTATGCCCTTCTAATGTTGGGGGCCCCAGAGCTGGGGGTGGCACTCCAGGTGAGGTCTCACTACATGTTGTACCACATCTGCTTGCTTCCATTCACATAGACTAGCTGATAAAATAGTTATGAACGGGAACTTTGTTCATCAGCTCAAAGGCAGATCTTACATTAAGAGGTTGTTCTTTCTCTTAGTACAGTTACAGACCTTGTTTTAACATCTGTCACACCTTGTCTGTAACAGTCTGATTTTGTACATTCTTTGGTAGCAGATACCTGTGAGACCAGGTAGTTCAACCCTTATGAAAGTTGTAAAAACTACTTTTTGACTGTTTAATGTGCTTCCTACTTACTTGTGGAGTGAGATTTATTCTTTTGTTATTCCAAATGCAGGACAAATGTTAAATGTCTGATGTTAGTGTATATAAATAGTGGAACTGCAAATGAGGGACCAATATAGTTAAAATTTTTCTTCAAAGCTGTTTTTTCTTGCTTTTGTAAATACTACACTTTACTGCTAAGAAGCTTCATTATTTTATGTGTACTTACTTTTGGCTGCCTTCATTTACCCTGTTAGTTGATCTCTTGCATATGTGGCCTCTGTTATAGAATATCCTCAAAGCTGTTAAACTAGAAGTCAATAACCCCCTTACATATATTTAATGGGAAAACAAAAATAATGAATTTTTTGTACTTTCATAAGCTTTGAGACAGGGATACATATCTGCTTAGTCTGTTTGCATGCCACAAATATTTAAAAGTTAGCAGTTTGATCAAGTTAAAATTATGTAAGGTATAAAAGACTGTTCACCTGCCAAGATGAGATTTAATTTAAATAATTCTGTCGGATGAAGTTGTTGATTTGGAAATTGAATTGTTTTAAGCTAACATTCTGTACTGCCTTCTACAGTTTATGAATTATGGGGATGTTCATAAATGTTTCACATGAGACTCCTGAGATATTAAGAGGAGGAGAGGTGTTCCAGGAAATGTTTCACATGTTAATTGGACATAAAATGTAAAAAAATATACCTTAATAAAAGTACAGAATATGAAAAAGATTAGCATAGTCAAGGTGGTGTCTAACATTTTTGTAAACTTTCTGTTACTGTAGAAGATCTGTTTGTCTGAAAGTAAGCTGGCTACTCTTTCATGTAGTGTGGCTGCAGAGCATTCTTGAAACAATCTTCCACTGAAAGCAGTGAAAGTATTAAAAGTGTTGGGTCATAATTCACTTTTACAGGATAATAAATACATGTAAATAGTAGAGACTGAATCAAGATTATAAACTCTTAAACTGACTGGAATGATTAGAGTGGCCACTTGATCTTCAGCTGAAGTAACCTGGGCTGCTGCAAACCTGTGTTTTCTGTTGTTACTGGTGATCATGCAGTTGCATGATAAAACACAGCCAAGCTTCTTCTAAGCTTATAGTAAAAGTTTACATTTGTAAGACCTTAACTTGAAAAGTGCTGGCGGACCTATGCTGGCTTTTATCAGTTCAGTGTCTATAAACATTTTTAGTGTACATGTCGCATGAGTAATAGAATTTTCTGTAGATGATCCTAAAAATTGAATCCATTATACCAATTGTTATCCCTTGAAAAGCTTCAATTTCAACTAACTTTCAACAAGGCTTTCCTGTGGTAAAGCACAGTTTGTTACTCTTGTTATTCCTCAAAGAACTGTTTTGGGCTTCTTAGCAAATGTTTCTCACATGGAAGTTGAACACTGATTGACACTGTGTCTAAAATACAAATGACTTTTTGGAATAGTGAAGGCTGGTGATTTTTCTGGCTGATCCACTGCATGTAATATGTCAAACTATTCTTCATGTATATTGCTCTTTTATTGTTAAGTTGAGGGAAAACTTCTAAGGTTAGCATAGGGTACTAGGATGACTTGAAATAGTTCTTATTCTGTTCCCTATCACCCTTTTCAACAGAAGAGTTCAACATGGACACTGTAAAAAGTTACAGTTCTTTCATTGGGCTGGAAATAAGATGCTTCTTTCCTCCTCACAGCTCAGTTCTTAATTATAAAGCTGATGGACCCATTTCGATTTTGTTCTTACATTAAAGTAAGAATTATTATGCTAGTTACATGTATTTGACATGCAGGTGACACTAACTGTACTTTCTTATGGAAAGCTTAACTGTTAGACTACATTTGGAGGGACTACAGGAGGAACGAAGCTAAAGATGTTGCTCTTAGTCCTAAACTACTGGCTCTTTTGGTGTCTTCTGAGAAGCAGTAGTAAGCCAATTCTAACTTTCAAGTACTGCTCCCAGCCATTGTTGCTATAGCCCCAACCATCTGACTAATCCTTGTACACAGGGGCTAGCAGTGCATCAGAATCAAATGGTTTCACAGCTTCTGAGGAAGCAGACTTCCTCTGGGAACTGCCCACATGTGAAGTTTTATGTGAAGGCAAGGGAGGAGGAGAGATGCTTCAAAAATCTTAAGAGCTCCCTGAAGCACCAATCATGTTTGACAGTATCATAGTAGGGTGATACCTTGGATGAGCCCTCTGTCTGGGAAGCAGAACTTTCTACTTTATTCTGCAGTATCTGTAGGAATATGTTGAGGAAAAGTATAGATAGATCAAGTTAGACTACATCTAACACACAGATTAAATATTTTTTTATAAAGTCTGGAAGGGACCCCAAGAGGTTATCTTCAAGTAGTTTTTAAGAATGCCACTGTTGTAGTAGATGACTCTGGGACTTGTTCTTAAATACTTTCTATCAGGCAAATTCAGTGTCTGCCATTCCTTAATATATTCAAGTTTCCATCATGTTGGTGTTCAATCCTCTGGAATAGAATGGTACCTTGTTTATCAAGTCATAGTATCACTGCCATTATGGAAGCATTACCTGTGGCTAGGTTTAGACAGCTTCTGAATAAAATTACTGTTGCTGGGAGAGTTGTGTTGGGTTGTACACCCTGTATCTAAATCTTGTGGCTCTCAGGCTTGAATGTATATAAAATTATATAAATAAGCTCCTTTGAAAATCCAAAAGCTCTTACCAGTGACCTTAACCCTTAAATTGAATAACTTCAGAGCATTTGTAACTGTAGTAAGGAGATACAATTTAACATGCTGTTTTCTGAAGAAACAAGGTGGAAAAGTGTGTCGTGATATATAAAATGCCCCTTTCCGTGAGCAATTCAAAATATTCTAGCATTAAAGTAGTTTTTGGAGCTGTAGTTTGACAAGCCAAAACAA